TGTGTGTGTGTGTGTGTGTGTGTGTGTGTGTAGGGGTTAATTATGTAAATATTGAAATTAAGAGTCTCTTTGGGATAGCTGAAGCTTATTAAATAATCTACAGATATGATAAGCTAGGTGCGGTGACTATTACAAATTTTTATTTTTTTTAGAAAAGTCAGACCGCTGTCAGAAAGCTTTCACCGTACCTAGATAGGTGCGATGTGACAACACAATTTTCAGCATTTTGAAAATGCATAAGCTACCAAAATGCAGTTTACCCAAACAAACCACGTGCGTTTACAAAATGCCACCATACCAAATAAGCTGCCTCAAACGGACCTTAAGTGGTTTGCTTGTAAGTCTTCCTGCAAAAAATAAGGACATTTTCTCTCATGATAAGAAAAATCTGTAAATCTAGAATTTGTTTTTTTCTTAAATGAGAAGACGATGTTAGCTCTACTTTTTCATCCATCTCTGATCTCAGATTTGATTGTTCATCTATTATATTTATCTAAAATAAATATTAAATTTTAAAATTCATCATAATCCATTTTTCATAAGAATATTCTTACATAAAAATAATTGAGATTGACATTATTATAGTTTTTTTTAACTTAAAACTGAATAAATAATTTTCCTTATGCTATACTTTAAATACTAGTTTTAATTTTTTTTTAAAATATAATTAAAATTAAGCTAATATAAAAAATAATTGAATAACTAAAAATGTACCCTAATTTGAAAACTCCACTGGCCCTTGCCCTCCAAATTTTATTTTTACCCTACATAAAACACAAAAATTTACTCAAGCATTCATTTTATGTTTAACCAAACAACTTCAAAATATGTGAGATAGTCATTTCAGTTACACAACATCATGTTTTTCATTCAATTAAATGTAGTCAAAATGAAATTGAAACTCGGTTGATTTGGTTGAGCCAACCACCACCATCTCTTATCGTTGCCGGCAAGCATCGCCCATCAACTCTGTCTAAAGCCATTAAGTACCATCACGACTTTCCATCAGCTACCACTGACGACTCACGAAATCACTCACTATAACTGCCAACCATTATCTCTAGACATTAAATTTATTTTACTATAAATCAAACACAAAAAGTAATATATTATATTTGTGATTGTGCCCTCCGACGTACGTGTTAGTCGCTCGAGGTGCTTGGTCGCGCCACGATCTCGTTCATAGTGGATCGGTCGGTCTGCAGCGGTTGGGCGCTCTGTTCGTCATACCTCCGTTTGGGCCGTCTAATAGCATTAAAATCCATGTTGGTATTTTAGGTGTACACAAATAACATTTTTTTAGATCGCCTATTACACTCCGTTGATGCATACAACGATAGCCCTATCGATACACATATCCTCTGAGACCCCTATGCAACTTCTTCGCCTCTTCTTCTTCTTAAATGTTGCCCTTCTTGAGCAAGTTCTTGTATAACTTCAACTCTTTTATGTCGTTGAGAGCCTAGTTCATATTCATATATTATCCTAGCTTATTTTTTTCATTGTTGAGTTTTAAGCATGGCTATGTTAGTGATTAGCGTTCTTGATTGTGGTTCACAAAGGAGGAAAGAGCATCTTTCACCAACACGCCTCTACAAATCAGCATTGTATTATTATAGTTGTCGATTTACTTCTCTGGATGAGATCCGATCAAAACTTTAGATCTGTTTGAGACAATTTTCAGTCTGTTCTGTGCTTCAGATCTCCACCAAAATTCTGTTTAGGGAACTTCCTATTGATTTCTAAAAATTTTTATGGTGAGAAGTTATTTTTTAAATCTAACTTATTAAAATGTGATAGGTATAAGAAAGTTATTGTTTGATTATTTTAAAAAAATACATATTTATAATTTCAACCCGAGCTTTCTAGCAAATTATTTTCTCCAATACATCTTTACAATCATATTCCCCTTTTTCTTCATTGTCAAGGGTTTGATCATTTCAGAAAATTCAGTGGCAGGAAAAATCTAAACAGAGGTAATTATTTATATATAAAAACGAATAAATTTATATCTTATGTATATAATTTTAAATAAATAATAATAATAGAAAGACAAATTCCTCTTATACTTGATATCTTACTCTATTTTTTCTTACCTGAATCTTCTGACCATATTTTATCGCTTTATTGTTATTTCTTGCTGTACACGTATTTAGACAATCGACTTGGCCTATAAGTACTCGACTAGTTAACCCGAATCAAGCATATCGTGGTCAAATAGAAAGCAGCAATTCCCTTTGAACGCCCCACAAATCACCACTCGACTTTCCCAAACACGAATGACTGTCGGAACCACCATTCCCTCCCCATCCCGGCCCATCTCTCCGGTGAAGTCAACCACCACTTCTCACCGCGACACCCGCCACCGCACCCCGCCGCGCTCCCTCAGAACCACCGCTTCCACAACCCCCCCCTCCCCCCCCCGCCGCCACCATCGACACCCGTTCCCACATCTCCAACCTCGAACGCGTTCTCCTCAGATCCACTCCCCATCCCCCCTCCCTCTTCCCCGTCCTCCACAACGACGACCAACACCGCCACAACCCGAAACCCTCCGCCGCGAACGACGGCGGCCTCCTCAACGCTCTGAATCTATCCTCTCTGTTTTCTTCCGTTCGGAGCTCCGTTACCGCCGCCGATGAGGTTTCCCCTCGTAGCCTCGCTCAACTCCAGCGACTCCTCTCCGATTCCTCCCGCCCATCTCCAAAAACCTCGATCGCGTCCAGGTGGCGGCTCCTCCATGGCTCCCGCAACTGGTCCGGTCTCCTCGACCCCCTTGATGAGAATCTCCGTCGAGAACTCGTCCGCTACGGCGATCTCGTACAGGCGGCGTACCGCATATTCCACTCTAATCCATCCGCCTCCCCTTCTCGTCCCCGCCACATGGTCCTCCCCGATCGCAACTACCGCGCCACCAGAAGCCTCTTCGCCACCTCCTCCGTCGAAATCCCCAGCTGGCTTAACCACGCCGCATCCTCCGCTCCTCCGTGGATGACCCAATCATCCTCCTGGATCGGCTTCGTTGCCGTCTGCGATAACGAACGCGAGATCGCCCGTATGGGCCGCCGCGACATCGTCGTCGCCCTTCGCGGCACCGCTACCGCTCTTGAATGGGCCGAGAATCTCCGCACAACTCTCCACCCCATGCCCGATTCCCCCTCTGCGAAGATCTCCTCTGGTTTCATGAACCTTTACAAATCATCCCCTGGCTCAACTACTCCAAGCCTTTCCACCGCGATCGTCAACGAAATCCGCCGTCTCGTTGCCCAGTACGCCGGTGAGGAGCTAAGCATTACGATCACCGGACATAGCCTCGGCGCAGCCCTCGCTATTCTCATCGCCGACGAACTAGCGGACGAAATTGAAAACGCGCCGCCGATCGCCGTAGTATCCTTCGGCGGTCCCCGCGTGGGAAACCGCGAATTCGCCGATAGGGTTGAGAAGAAAGGAGTGAAGGTTCTTCGTGTTGTGAACACGAACGATCTGGTTACTAGGGTTCCGGCCGGGGATCACCGCGGCGAAAAAGAAAAGGGGAACTGGTTGCGTTCGCACCTGCTGGATGGGTTGGAGGGTTATGCGCACGTGGGAACGGAGTTGCGTGTGGATAATCGGGATTCGCCGTACCTTAAACCCAACGCTGACCCGGCTTGCTGTCACGACCTGGAGGCTTACCTGCATCTAGTTGATGGGTTTATGGGGACTGGCTGCCCGTTCCGGTCTAATGCGAAGAGGAGTTTGGCCCGGTTGCTGAGCCAGCAACGACCCAATGTGAAGAAGATCTATGTGAACCGGGTTTGGTCTCTTGGGGCGGTCGAGTCGGGCCGTGGGGCCGTCGAGGTTCACCATGGTTGTCTTGTTAGCCCCTCTGGATAAACCGCAGAGGACTATATTAGTTAATAAGGATTGTAAATTATGTTTAAGGAATCATGGAATTAAGTTACGGATATTATTGAATTATAGTTTGGCAATTTTTGATATGGGCATTTACATAAATACCACCAATTTTTATGTATCTACATGTTTAACACCTAAACTTCTTTTTTTACATTCCTACCACCCAAATCTTTCATAACATATTAAAAATATCACAATTCTAATTTTTAAAAAGTGAAAGTGGTGTTTATATAAAAATTGAAGTAAAGATGTCAAATATGCAAATACATATGAATTGAGTGGTATGTATGTAGAAATATCCATCCATCTTTACCTCATCTTATTTTATTTAGTGAGTTTTGACTGTGCACACCCAAAAAGGGTCTGCACTGATATCGAAGCAGCTCGGCAGCGTGGATCAAACACTAATAGTCATCAATTCAACCGGTCAAGATAACTCATAATGGACCGGCCGCCCTAAGGCCTGCTTATCGAAGACTTCACTAAGCCGGCTAAAAAACAAATAACTCTATGATATCATTATATTCTTCCAACATTCACCTCAAAGAATATCAACAGACTTACAAACCAGTCATTTAACCAAGAGTCGACCTATCATTGAACTCAGAGCCGATCGGGCAAAGATAGCATGATGTTTAGCTAAAATAGCCGACCTCCAGTTGAGTCGATCAACTCAATGATCCTTCTGTTGAAGGATCAAGAAATACATGAGATACAAAAATACAATAATATCTTGTAACCCCCATCCAATGACATGAGCATGTATGTAATTTTCTTCTTTTTGACATTTTATCTCCTACAAATAATGAGTCAAGTGAAGGTAAAAAGGATTTATGGCTTTTAAATCTCTACACATATTTTAGATGTAGAGTTCTCTCTTTCTCTTATGTTATCTTCATTTAGATATAGAACACGGGTCGCAGGGTTCTGGAAAACCGTAGTTTGCCGCCAATGGTTAGTATGTGAGTACTATTTTATTTCATTTGTCTCTATCTATTTTCACCTCTCTATTCCTTACCGTTCTGATACTTTGGTTTGCCTCACAGGACATATATGGATTCAACACTGCGTACCAAAAAATTTTTATTTGACACATTATATACAATTTGCCGGTGAATTCAAGCTTACATCGGTTAAAAAAATAACTAAAAATTTATTTTAAGAAAATCCATCGGCCATGAACAGATGGAGTGTTGAAAAGCGCTTCAATATTCTTAGCTCACTCGCTGCGGCAGCAAGACGCCAAGGCAAGGACTACGATAATGTATACTTTTTAAACGGAAGCATGAAGATATTGTTCATCAAATAAATACTTAAAAGATAAGGGCTATGCGGACAATTTTATTTTAGTTTATCATGATTATTAACTGTAAGAACACTCAAATTATTTAAATATTATTTAACTTTTTAAAAAATAATTGATTTTTTTTTAAAATTAAAAAGGATGAACGTATAGAGCATATTCTACATAAATATATTTTTTTTCGAATATGAATGCAACGGGTGATTTACCTTCTGAACTTATCAGGAGGGGCAATTTACACGCATTACACATAAATTATTAGAATTACATAGAAATCAAATAATTATTCCTCCTATAATGGTATATATATATATATATATATATCAACACGAATCTTAAAATGATCTAACGGCCCGCAGAGAAGATGACATAACGGTCCGGGACCAGTGAAGAGTTCATATTTATCTAGCTGACTCCTACAGGCGAAATGAAAAATATTCTTAAGACATACCAAACTCGACCACCCTCTTAAAGACTAATGACACAAAACATGCACGGATGAATCCGCTAACATTCCTAGATCAAGTTGGGCGAATGATGAAAACCTTCCGGATCTAAAGCAGTCAACTTGGGCCTCTTGATCCATTCTTCGACCAAATTCGTTTGGGAAAATGACCCAATCAGTCATTTCCTTAGATGTGTAACCGCTCGTCCCAAATATGGTCAGGTGTCATCTCGAGCTCCTGGTTCCATCTAGTCAGACATCATTTCAGGTTCTCAGGTCGATAATTATGTATTGACTAAAATACCCTAGCTCTACGTATTCGACTAGGGGTATAAAATGTAATTTTATAAGATTTTTATTGTTCATTATTAAACTATCTTTGCTCATTTTCTCTCTTTCACGCTCCATTCGTTAGGTGTGTCTCTTAGATAGTTTTGAAATCAACAAATAAAATAAAGGGAAGCGGGGAGTCTCAAAAAATTCTTATCAAACACTTGAAGTATGTTCGAAGATAATAAATTCATTTGATAGTCAAATGATCTAAAATATTGGTATGTTTATAGTCAAATTGAATGACTTTGACGTGAAAAATGTAACAAGCTCAATATCAATTAATTATGATGTCATTAAGGTGCTTCAATGTTGAAAGAATGAACTGTGATCAAAAGAGTCAACGTGGAACGTTGATGGAGTGTTTTAAGATTCTAATTAAATTTATTAAACTTTACCCAAAAATATTTTAAATAAACTCATTATTCGCGTGAAAGAGGGAGGGGGGAGAGAAGAATGAACTGAGAACTAGCATAACAGTCGAAGAATAGTGCAGAACTGGTGATTACTAATAATACGAATCATCTCCACCAGTTATTGTAGGCTTGTAGCCCAACAACATTGTTGTAGCATAACTATAACTATTGTATCTCAATTATAGTTGTTGTAGCTTAACTATGATAATCATATCCCAACTACGAATATTGTAGCCCAAGTATGTTTGTTTTAGCCTAATTAGAGTTATTGTAGCCCAAATACGATTGATGTTGTCTAACTACAGTGGTCATAGCTCAAAATTAAGCCCAACTACACTTGTTACAACACAACTAAGGTTGTTGCAACTTAATTATGATTGCTGCGATCCCACTATAACTATTGTAGTCCCAAATTTCTTTATATAGTTGTACTTGCCGAGCTATCTCATAGTAGTTGTAATTTTAATATTTTTTTAAAACTCATTTTCCACAGGTAAGGCGAAGAGTGGATTACTACACTTGTAACCACGTAATGGAATATTTTGACCAGGCAATGTACCATAATTTTTTTTCTTTTTTAGGATTTTTTTTTTCACATAAAAAATTGTTTGTTTCTAACACTTTCATCTATGTGTGTTTAGAAATTGCTCAAAGCTAAGATTTAAGATTTTTTTTACCATTGAAAATTTTCTAATGCACAACACTTTCAAAAAGAAAGCATCACATATCATAACATTTTAATCACCTGGTTATCCTAAGCTAATAACCTTTGAGGATTGTCTGATAAATATGTGATAATAATCAACATCATTCTAATCATAATCATCCACTTTTTAATTATAGTATGCCACTTCTTTATCATAATCAATATCTTTTTAATTCTAATTAGTTGGTTCCTTATTCTAGTTTGCCTTTTCTTTTTTAATCTCAGCCATCCTATTACAAAAGTCTAATTCTACTATGCCATTTTTGTTGAGATGAAATTCATTAGCAAGGTTCACAAGGTGTTAAATAATATAACATTTAAAAAATAAATATTAAGATAATAAAAAGAAAATTACTTTTTGGAATCAAATTCCTAGTTTTTTTTTATTTATAGTTTTTAGTTTATTTTGTTTATATTTTAATTTTAAATAAAATATGTTAAAACAAAAAAAAATGATCATTTTTTAAAACACTTGAAAATAATTTTAAGTATTTAAAAATATGTTAACTTTTTTTTATAAATTAAAATAAAAAATAAAATACTAAATAAATATATATTTAAAATAAAAACAAAATAAAAATAAAAATTAATCCCAAATAGAATTTATCAGTTTGTGTCTTCTATATAAAGCCCCCAGAAAATAATTCCATTCAAAGGAGTGTTGCCCTCAATATCCCTCCAGCCGCTCTGGCCGCTCTGCGCGCTCACAATGCTTCGACTACGATCCATATTGTCCCGCTGTACTGTCACCAACAGCTGCCCTGTTGCTTATACTGTTCGTTATCTTCACAGTAGCCGCCATTGGAGATGTCCCCCCCATACCTCGGCTCCCGAGGCCATGGCTATGCCGTGCCATTTCCGTCTCTTCTTCTGCAGAACTCTAATTGTTCAAACAGCCCCCAGTCTGGTGAGAATAGAGAAGCTCTCCAGTTCCGATTCAGGTAAAAGTTTAGCGATCATGATACGGGTGTTTTTGTCATTTTTTTTTTCGGGTTGGGTTGAGTGATATAACATCAGCTCATGGAGGACTGATTCGTAGGGATTGTGGATTTGAAGTTGGAGAGAGCCGAGGCCAAGAACGCGATCAGTAAGGAGATGCTGAAGGGATTGCAGAACGCGATAGTGGAGATTGATAGAGACTCGTCGGCTAAGGTCGTTCTTGTCAGCAGCTCTATTCCTAGGGTGTTCTGCGCTGGTGCTGATCTCAAGGTATTAGGATTCGCCTGTGTAGGTGATTTTTTATTGTTTGATGCTACGGAATAGCTTTCGTTATGGTTAGTATGATTGAGTGGAACGAATTCAACTATTGAGGCCTTGATCCAATTGATTGCTGTTAGGATATACTTGGAAAACTTTGGTTTGGAGGGTATTTAGGTCACTCTTGTATCGTTTTGTGAGGGAGATGGGGTGCAAGAAGCTTTATTCGTAGATTGGAAGAAATTTTTCATATGAAGATCCCAGTGGTAAGAACTTGTCCGGGGTTCTTGATTTTCCAATGTCCGTTTCTCAATTGATCTATTCAATGATTAGAGTAATCTCATAGTATTGCTTAGCTACATCTTTAGTTATGAGATTCGTCGCTTATGTTCTAGGAAAAGAAAATGATGCTGGCGTTTCTTAGAGTGAGTGCACCAAAGAGGAGTCAAAGTTGAGCATAGCACACTAATAGTGAATTCAAAATCTTAAGGACATAAGAGATGATAAACCACTTAATATTTCTCTATACCAATAAATTTGTTATTTATTCAATGTGAGATTAAACTTAAATAACCAATGCTCTCACATGCTTTATCAACCTTGAATTAGCCTGATATTTGTCCACATCTACAATCTCTCATCAATAAAAGCTTTTGAACGTCATCAAACATTGTGATCTAAGAATCCGTTTAATCACGTAGAGCTCTTATGGGATTCACTCATCCTTAAATCTTTCTCAATCATGGTAGACAACACCATAAACTCATGGATGTTATAAAATGCATAAATTACTCGATCTGACTAGCCTTCAACTTCGATGCCAACTCTTAGGGAGTGTGTATCAAAGGGGACTAAAGTACTCTCTTTGCAAGCTCCTTGATGTAAAGCACCTGGTGTTAGACATTTGCCTCTATGATGTAAAATGTTTAATTATTTTGTTAAATTATACACAACAATTTTATGAGATGAAGGGATAAATATATAATGATATGAAAGTATATATTGGTGTTGAAGAGATAAAATGGGTAATAGTGAAAATTTTATTAACTTTTTGTCATGGAAAGCAATAACTTATGCTTTTGTCTACTTGTTTAAACATGAAACATTTGGGCTTTCTTGGAACTTCTTTTGGACATTTTTTTTTGGCGAAGTTTTGTCATTTAGGTATTTTTAAGGGAAGCGGATGCATTGCTATAGTTTTTTAATAAAAAAAGGTAAGAGCATTGGCATTAAGGCCAAAATAAGTATTCAGAGTGCTTGGAACTAACTTTGGATTTGTGTTTCAACATTTATTTGGTAGAAAATGGACATCAACGAGTTCCTATTTAGGTCGGCATGCTTCACTGCAAGTGTTTTTATTTCATTTTTGGAAGTATGTCGCATCAAAGTCAAATCCAATGATATATATCTATTTATTTTGCAATAACTTACTTCTTGTGAACTCAATTTTTTTGTGTTTGTTTGGAATGGAATAAGTTTTATTTTTACTCGCTCACTTTAATGTATCATTACTTTATTATCATTAGTAAAAGTAATTTTCTAACTATCATCATGTCAATTAATTATTATTATTATTTTTATTAAATTGAATAAAATAAAATTTAAGTCGTCTTCATATTACTCAAGGTTAAAACTCACCTCTCAACCCTTTATAAATTATTATCAGGAGTTAAATTTTAGTTTCATGTAATTTCAGCAAGACTCACTTCTTAAGTGATCTTATTCATTTCAAAATGCTTATACTGAATAAATTAGCCCTTTATGAAACTCAATTTCATTAAAGGGAGAAGTTAGCTTCACTTCGGGAAATATGTAGTTCCAAAATTAAGGATTGTTTGGCTGAAAGTGGTTAAAAGTGATTCACAATTTTTAAAATCAACTTCACAAGAAGATATGAGTGAATTTCACTTATGAGGACTTGGAAGTTAGTTAATAATAATAATAATAATTGTCATAGTAGCAATAGCCATAATTGTAATAGTAGTGTCGTCATAATAGCAACAATAGTAGTATTAGCGACAATAATAATAGTAAGAGTATTAGAAGTACTAGCAGTAATGGTGGTAGTAATAGTGGTAGTCATAGTAGCAGTTGTAGTTGTAGTAGTAGTGGTCATAGTAATGGTAGCAGTAGTAATAGTCATAGTAGTGGGAGCAGCAGTAGTAGTGGTAGTCGTAGTAGCAGCAGTAGTGGTGGTAGTCGTAGTAGCAGCAGTAGTAATAGCAGTAATAGTGGTAGTCATAGTAGCAATAGTTGTAGTGGTGGTAGTCGTAGTAGCAGTCGTCATCGTAGTAGTAGTAGCAGTAACAATATTAATAGTAGTGGCAATAGTGGTAACAATTGTGGCTATGGTAGCATTCGTAATCGTAGTAGTAGGAGTAACAATCGTAGTAATAGTGGTAGTAGTAGTAACATAGTAGCAACAACAATAGGAGTACCAGTAGCGGTAACAGTAATAGTAGTAGTCGTAGTCGTAGTAGTGGTCGTGGTGATGGGGGTGGTGATAGCAGTCGTCGTCGTAGTCGTGGTAGCAGCAACAGCATAGCATTACCAGAAGAATGGATTAGAATTATACTGACAATGTTAATAAAATAGTATTATGTAATGATTAATTAGCAGGTCAAACCAATTCTAGAATTAGTTTCATTAGAAGCTAGCTATTGTGAATTAAATGAACACCTATGAATCATCTCGTCGAAACTCACTTCTGAAACTCTAAATTCTAACCACTTCAAAATATGCACATGAAAACCATTAGGCTCATAAGAGGACTCCAATATCCAATGCCTTCATTATTGATATTTTGCGTAGAGTAATAATAAAATAACATATATAAAAGATAAGTTTGGTTACTATATTAGTTTTTTTACAACAAAAATTGAATAATATATAATTATGGGATGAAGGTAAAAATGAAACTAAAGACAATCCAAACAAACACTCAAACCAAGTTTGCAGAAGGGCTCTTATTGCAAAACAAGAAACAAACACCATTGAAACACGATCCGATCAAGCACTTTGAAGCACAAATTTAACCACTTCTAGATGATTGTCTTAAAACATATTGGCCCTATTTGTGTAAAGATTATTGGGCTTGTTGTAACTCAGTAAATTTTTGAAAATGCGGTGCAGGATAGAGCATTCATGATCACAATTGTGTTGACTCGTGTTCCTGTCCTCTTGCGAGATCTTAGCCATAACTCAAACCAAGTTTGCAGAAGGGCTCTTATTGCAAAACAAGAAACAAACACCATTGAAGCACGATCCGATCAAGCACTTTGAAGCACAAATTTAACCACTTCTAGATGATTGTCTTAAAACATATTGGCCCTATTTGTGTAAAGATTATTGGGCTTGTTGTAACTCAATAAATTTTTGAAAATGCGGTGCAGGATAGAGCATTCATGATCACAATGGTGTTGACTCGTGTTCCTGTCCTCTTGCGAGATATTAGCCATAATATTATAAAAAGGCAGAGTGAAAAGGAGAAAGGAACACTTAGAAATTAACGTTTGTGCGCCCAAGAAGTTAAGCGGACTATTTCTTTTAGGTATTTTTTAAATACTTAATTGAATGGGGAGAGATCTACATTATTGTTGGCATGCTTGCACATAGAATTCTTCTGTGCCGAGTCTACCAAATTGAAATAGCTTTCTGTCATCTTGGATGCCTTCATTGTGCAGTGCAATGCATGGGAATCTGATTCCCAGGAAATTGAATTTCTTTGCTAGTAGTACTCCTTATGCTGAAGTGGAATCATAAAAATGGACATTTATGGTGCTACCTTATTTCTGTTCACTCTTAGAAAATAGGCAGTGTCTAGTCACTTACTTAGTAAACTATAGGTGAGATTAGAATGATTTTGCTTATGCCATTTCTTGATTCATTTTGTTGAATAAATTTATAATTCTTTCTGTTCCTTGCTCTGATAGTGGATAATTATTTTGAGTTTCAGTTGTACGATGGCTTCTTTCTTATTTTAACTTGGATAACAGCAGTAACAGCTTTTACCTCATTTATGATGACAACGCGAGAAACTATTCTATCTATGATTTAAATTTTTTAATGTCCTAGGAATTTTGTAACGTTTGGGCAAAGTTATGAACAAAATAACTTGTAGAATGAATTATCAAAGACTGAATCCTTTTAGTAATTGAGTTCTTACCATTTCATTTTGCAATATTATCATTTATTTCACCTAAATTAGAACAATTTGAGCTCTAAACCATATTGTCGAGCTTTTTTGGTGATGTCTTAGCTTGTTTTAACTAATTGGAAACCTCAACACTCCAGCTGGCTGATAATTTCATGGCTTAAGTTTTGATGACAGGAGCGCAGACTGATGAATACTTCAGAAGTTGAGCATTTTGTTAACTCTCTGCGTTCAACGTTCTCTTCTCTAGAGGTTTTATGCTCACTCTATATGCCTCACGCTAGCTATAGATTTATTTCTTCCGTTTTTTGGTCTGTGCTATTTATAATTTTATTCGTTCAAGTGGACTGCTCACAATTTGCTCGACTTCTTGTTGACCTGCTGAAAAACTTAACAACTTGTTTGTGGTTCAAATTAGTTTCTATGGTCATTGATCAGATTTATGAGCAAGTTCTACTGTTATGTTTTCATGCTGGAGTGTACGAGGGCCTACTTTCTGAGGGCATTATTAGCTTTCATTTTGTTGCCCGTGGTTTATCACATGTAGTGAAGACATCAAACAAAAAACACATAGAGACGAAAGGAAATAATACGGTTACAATTTTCTGTATTCCAAAGATACTCTCCTCCTTACAACTGATCCTATTTAGCTAATTCAAGTATGAGAATTAAACTCAATAAGAAGTGGTAAAAGACACTAAACAAATAATTTGTGTTAAGCTAGGAAAACGATATAAAGCTCAAAGACTAGGCTCAATGATTGATCCGCCGCAATGAACCTGACCCGACACGGGTGACTACACCATATTATCCTCCACTTCTAAGGAACTCATATGGAGTTCTTGAATTGATCCTCTATCTAGTCGGTTAAATTCATTGATGTATGATATATTAAAAGTTGAAGAGATATTGGATTTTGGTCGAAGAGCAATAACTTAAGTGTGTCGTTAATTTTCTTAGTAATGGAAATAGCCTCAGCTTGCTTGGTTTCAGTTTTTGAGTAAATGCCCACTGGGAACTATGGTTGTAATCGAATCAAGTCGAATCGAGTCAGATATGCTACAGATTGAACTTGACTTGGTCGAATCATAAGCTGTTCATATTCAATTTAAATTTGAGCTAAGCTTTCATATATATGTTCATATTTGGCTTGCTTAAATTTTTTAATGATCATACTTGATTTGTACTTGGTTTGTTTGCTTTAATTGACCAAGCTAAAAATTCAAATGAGTATTAAAATTTTCATATGAAATAAAAATTTAATTTGTGCTTGATCTCACTTATAAACTAATAAATAAGTTAAAAATTTGATTGATTTTTAATCAGGTTATTAACGAATGATTTTACAAATTTAGATAAATAAACAATTGAATAAATTTTAAATTAGCATCTAATTATTTTGTAATAATTAAATAAAATAATATATGAGTTCTAAGATAGCTTTATTGCAATCAATTAGCATAAATAAATACTAACAAACTAGTTCATTAAAATAAAAATAAGAATAAATTGTATTAAATTTATTTACATATTGTTATTAAATTATAATATATTATTAATAAATATATAATTAAATAAGTTCTAGTTAATCAATATTTCCCTAACTAATATATTATATAAATATAGAACATTTAACATATAACTTGTTAAACGAAAAATGAGCTTTTTCATGAATAATAACAAATGAGTTCAACTTTGTTCAAGTTTGGTTTAATTAACCTTTTAGTTAAAATAAAAAAAAAATGCTCAAACTTGTTAATTTATTAATTTGGAACACAAATGATGGATTATTAATTGAGTCGTGTTCAAGCTGTTCATCAAATGCATTAGTTAATTTACAGCCCTACTGGGTGTTGCGTTAAAAAATTACAAAATAATTAATATTATTAATTAGATTTACAACCCTAAATATGATACCAAAATTCTCAATTTCAAAGCTAAAATATTAGGGTTGACATCGAGTTTAAATGCCGAGATCCCCAAATATTTATTAGAAATCGGCACTAGGTGAAAATAGATGTGAAATGAAATTTAAAGGACAAAGATCTCTTTTGGTCAAAATCCTTAAAGTTCAACTAAAAAGACTTCAAGATTTGCAAGCCTCGTTGATTCAGGTTGGAAGGATGCAAGTTCTATCATAGTTCATGTCGGGTCAAAAATGTCGGACTCAACAAGCCCAAATATGGTTAAGTCACTGACAACTCGTTTCACTCAACAAGCCATAAAAATGACCGTAATGAAGGAGAAAGTTTAACTTAACAACCCATAGAAACGGCCGCAGTAGGAAAGCTCCTACCTTGTTAGTCTGATGAGAGGAATTGTCTAGTTCACAAGCTCATCCAATTTGATAAGTCAAGTCTTCTAAATTGAGAAGACTTTTTCGAAAAGTTAATAGATAAAGAAAATCCACAAGTCTATAAACTGAAATTTTATAAGTTGAAGAAGCACAAGTTCATTATAGTCCAAGTCTAGGACTCAAACGGGTCAAAAAGGTCGGGCTCAACTAGCTCAAATATGGCCGAGTCGCTGATAGCTTTCTTCACTCAATAAACCATAAAAATGGCCTGACTGAAGAAGCACTCATTTGCTAGCTCGATGGCAAAGACTATCAAATCCCAAGCCTATTCAACTTGAGAAGTCCAAGTGGACTAGATTATGGAATTTTTCTTGTTCAATTCCATAAACAAATCACTTTCTTTGAATGTTTTGAATCTTCGTTTCTGGCCAGCCTATTGTTTATAGGAATTAGAACTACTTGAAAGCTTATTCTTCACATTTTAATGTATGGAATTAATTCAGTATCTACATTCCCTGCAGGTTTGCTGTGTGGTTTTGGAATAACATATACATCCACTGTATGATTAGGGGCTTTAGTATAAATGAAATTGAATAGCGGCTTATCGGTTGATCGATTAACCATAGAATTATAAGCAAATTCAGCTTGGCTAAGCACTTCATCCCATTGTTTTGGTTGTTCTCCCACCAAGCACCGAATCATACTTGTAATGTACGATTTATGACCTCCAGTCGGTCTTAGGGTGATAGATGGAACTGATACGGAGTTCATGTGTAATCTCTTCATAACTCTCTCCAGAAACAGCCGATGGACTTAACATCTCGATCGGAAGTGAGGCTCTGAGGAGTCCCGTGTAAATGGACAATATCTCTAAAGAATATTTGGGCTACATTAAAAGCATCAAATATTTTTTTTCAAGCTACAAAATGCAGCATCTTTGAAACATGATATACTACGTCCATTACAGAATCATATACCCTTTTGGTTTTGGGAAGTCCCAACTTGAAGCCCAAACTCAAATTTTCCCAAATGGTTAATGGAATAGTTAGTGGTGTATAAAGGCCTGTGTTTTGACTATTTCTTTTGTAAGTTTGTCAAGTAGAACACCGCCCAACATAACGACATACATTTTATAAATCTGACCAGCTAAATTCATTCAATCAATGCAAAGTTTTAAATGAATAAAGTTGTACATGCAAAAAATTACATGTAGCATACGCTTGATAAGATGAATCTCAATGGATCTATTTCTGCAGATGTAGATTAAGACGATTCATGTAAAAGAATTCTAAGGAGCCACACAACATTGATTCTACATATTTTAATGTGATTACTTTAAAAGAAAATTTTAGCCAGATTTACATTAATAAGAAAACCATATTTGAAAAAGGCTTCTTTTATTTGTTTAGAATTTTTTTAATTTTTAGTAAATGAAAATAACATTTTATTTAAAAGGTTAACTCATATTTATCTAATGTTTAATAATGGATGTTTAAGTCACAAGGAGAATTGAAATTTCTTCCAAAAGTATAACTTACCTAAGTTATCTCAATTGAATCTACACCATAAGAAAAAAAAAATTGCAAATTATCTAAATAAATATAAGAAAAATGATAGAAATGGAAATATTCACCATATTTTTTAAGAGAGAGACAAGTGGCTAGGGAGAATATGCGGTGGTGTGAGGGAGAAGAGCTAGCGATGGCGGATGGGAGAACAGGCGACAACAGTTCAATGGAGAAGAGGAGGTATTGCAATGGAGAATAGGCACAAGAGAGGAACTTGGGGGAGGGGCAGGGAGTGGGGGTGGGAACCCCATTGGAAAGGAAGGTTATTGGTGTGAGCATTTATCAACAAAAATTCCATTGCAAATCTGCCAATATTTTAAATTTTTTTTTGTAATGACGACGCATGTACTACAATGATTCCTAGGGTAAAGTAATTTGGAGCATAACTGAATAACTTTTTTATGAATGAAAAACCTAAGATTTGGGATGTTAGAATAGAACCCAAGGTAATTCTTTTTTATGCAAAGAGGGGTATAAATACTCATTACAGGTTCTACTAGTAAGGAAACAAATAAAAACATAATAAAGGGAAAAATGAAAGTAAATAAAAAGTAAATCAAAACAAGAAATCTGCATATTAATCTTCTAATATACTAATACTCCCCCTCAATTTAAGTATATATATCAGTCATATTCAACTTGGATTTAAAATCATTGAACAGTGGTCATGGAAGGTTTTTTGTGAGAATATCTATTGGTTGACCACTAGATAACACAAACGGCACACAAATTTCCTAGGACTCGACTTTTTTCTTAATTAAGTGACGGTCAATCTCAACATGCTTGGTTCGATCATACCGGACCAGGTTGTGAGCAATGCTAATGACAGTCTTGTTATCACAGAACAACTGTAGAGGAGCGAAAACTGTCATACATCATTCGTGGAGCATGCGTAACCAGAGAGCTTCACAAATTCTCATGGACATAGACCGAAATTCTGTTTTCGTACTGCTCTAAGCAAGTACAGATTGCTTCTTGTTTTTCCACGTGACCAAATTTTCCCACACAAATGAGCAGTACCCTGAGGTAGATCATCGATCATGAACGAATCTAGCCAAATTTGCGTCTTTGTAAACGACAATAGAACAGGAAGTGTGAAAGGAAAAAAATTAAACATGAGCCCGGTGTGCCTTTTGAATAGTGGAGAATCTGGTGGATAGCTTGGAGGTGGTGCTCATAGGGATCATGCATTAATCGACTGACTATCCTAATTGCGTGGCATATGTCGGGGCGTGTATGGTTAAGATAGTTGAGTTTCCCCACAAGACGTTGGTAGTGAGTCTTGTTTACAGGAACTGCATTGGGAACATCCAAAAGTTTTTCATTGGGATCCATCGGGACAGCAATTGGTTTGCATAGAAGAAGATTATTTTCTGTCAAAAGTTCAA